CTACAAACAAGGCATACTAAAGCTACCAACACAACCATGTTTATTGCAGTATTATTTACCATAGCTAAGATATGGATCCAACCCAGAGGCCCCTCAATAGATGAATGGACCAAGAAAATGTGGTATATATGCACAATGGAGTTCTATGCCGCCATCAGAAAGAATGACATCGCCCCATTTGTTAGGAAATGGAAAGACTTGGACAAAATTCTATTAAGTGAAGTAAACCAGGCCCAAAGAAACAGGTCCCATTTGCAATAACTAGTATATGTCTGAGACAAGCAGAAATTGTCAGGTAAGTTGATGTTAGGTGAAATGAGTCCAAAGATAAGGATTCAAATGTTTTTCCTTTCATGCAATTGTTTCTAACATATTTATAAGATGATTTCTATGTTGCTTTGTATGTCCCTCCTCCATGGTATAACCCCTGCTCTCACTATATTTGATGTTGTTATAATTTGTGGAGGGGAAGGGAAAAAACAAATCGTTTAAATAGGGATACAGGTGGACCCATTGCAACAATGAGATGTACAAGAAGTCATGGTGGGGGTAGGAGGGAAGATGGGAAAGGATGGGTAGGGGAAATGAAGGAGAAGGCAACAATGCTTGATAAGAAATATACTCATTATCTTTCCCATGTAATTGTAGCCCCTCGGTATGGTATTTTCACAATAAAAAATTATTTTTGAATAAAAAGAAACACACACTCCAAAAATATTGTTTAGAACACCAGATTTGCAAAGAATAAGAATCTCAAAATTGTTATACACCAGCTTTGTTTTGTTCTTTGGACAACTTTTTCTTTCTAATAAATACTCAGAGCCCTAACAATATATATGATATATATATATATATATATATATGATATATATATAACAATATATATGATAATTCACATTTTCCTTTATTTTTCCCTCAAACTAGTAGACTTACATATGTTAATGCAGCATGCAAGTATTTCCAGGAAAATTAATTCATGCTTTTTGTTCCAATTCCAAACTATAGATGGCTTTAGGGCCGTCATTTTTACTGCAGAACTGTAGGAGAGTGTGTTGCCTGTTCTGAGTAACGCACAGGGAACTCAGAAGCATCACCTCCATCCTCCAGGTGGAAGCTCTTCTTCCAGGTCCTGCTGCCTTAAATTAGCAACAGGAAGCCAGAGAGCAGAATGAAGACGATGCACGCAAACATAAACCCTACTGACAGCATGCCAGGTGTTGTTCTCTGCTGGCAATCCATTTAGTCCTACAGTAAATAACTCTTTGGGCTTAGAGCTATTATTATCCTCATTATAAACTGAGAAAGAAAACATAAATAATTTGTCCCAGGACTCACAGCTAGGAAAAGGCAGAATAAGGATACCAATACAGGCAATTTCTCTCCAGATCCTACAATCTATAATACTTTTTTTGTCATGGGGCTTGAACTCAGGGCCTAGGCACTATCCCTGAGCTCTTTTGCTCAAGGTTAATGCTCTACCATTTTAAGCCACACCACCCCTTCTGGTTTTCTGGTGGTTAATTGAAGATTAGAGTCTCATGGACTTTTCTGGTTGGTTTTTGAACCATAATCCTTAGATCTCAGCCTCCTGAGTAGGTAGGATTACAGGCTTGAGCCACCAGTGCCTGACTATAACACAAAATTTTGATAGCTCTCTAAGGTCTGGTCTGCTCATATCACTCAGCCTCATTTACCATCTTCAGGATTTATTAGCCTTTAGCATACCATACCATTCACTATGTCCTTTCCCAGAAGGCAGAGACACCCTTAGAAAATAGACCATTCCTTAAATGTTTCAACATGCACCCACTGAGATATAGCTCTTCTGTTCCTGGTTATTTATGCAATAAAATAAAAGTAAATGTTCCTACCAACTTTGTATGAGAACACCTACGACGGCTTTATCACTAATAGAATAAAAGCCGGAAATACTCCAAATAGCCATCAATATTTGAATGAATAAACACAGTGTGATAGGTCTATTCTATGAATTGTTATTCTGTATAAAAAGAATAAATTCAATAGTTTTCCTGTAAGAGACAGAAGTACTGACTTACAAATAGTTTGAAGAAACCTTTTAAGTGGTAGGTTTGCTTGTTACTTTGCTCAGTGCAATTCTGGGTGGTACACACAGATGTCAGAATTTGTTAAACGATGTAATTTAAACACAGGTCTACTTTATTACATGAAAATTATACCTCAATAACATCTTGAATGTAGAAAAGCTCAAAAATATAATTGCCTACTTTAGCTCATGGAAATGCGATTTTGAGACCAGTCATTGTGACACAGGCCTAGAACTTAGCTACTTGGGAGAGAGGAAGGAAGATTGAAATTCAAAGCCAGGCAGAAAGTCTCAGAATTCATTTTAAAATGTTTTTAAAAAACAAGGGAAATCATGAGACCTATATCTCTTTGGGTCTAGCTTACTTCA